GGGATCCAATCCTTAGAACGCAACGTTCTCATTGGAAACACCGCCGGAAAAATTGGTGGCTGCACGCCAATGGGGCGTAAGAACGGTCTATAAATACTTAAGCCGGCCTTACAGGGCCCGCCACGGGAGATAAAGGTTATAGGCCGATGATTCGTAGCGCGGTTCCTCCGGTACGTGCGTACACACACGTACGCGATCCACGTGTATCCGGCTGGAACGGCGTTGAAAGCTCGTGAAATCTCCATGTATGAGGCCTTGTCGACCTTGCGCGCTCTCGTGATGCCCGCAGCTACCGGGGGGAGAATCCCTACGGATCCTCAGTGATGATGACAAGGGCCGACAGCCTTTCCAAACAGGCAGTTGTAAACGTCTGCTCCAGTTTCATGCTTCCTCGTTCCCGAGGATAGGTGACGATCCGCGATTCCAAAACACGCGAAATCGACCCGATTAAGTGGATGAAACGACACGACACGACACGACACGACACGCCACGCCGCTGCTTAAACATTCGCAGACGATGACGATGACGATGACGCTGGGTGAAAAATCGCGAGATATTCGGTTATGAGGTTTATAGATGGATAGAACGGTGTTGCACGTGTACAAAAGGGAGTTGGTTCGAGAAGTTTAATATCGGGGATTATTGCGGATTAATACTCTTGAAAGTTCATACGAGAGGAATTAATAAAATAGACACGATGATTGGGTTTCTTTTACGAGGTCTGATTAATGAAGGATTACCGGTCGGTTCTTCTCGGAAAGTTCCTTTCCGAAAGATCGTTGATCCTCCTCGTTGAGAATATACCGAGAATATACTGAATATACGATTGCAATAGCTTGTTTGCCGAAAAGACTCTTAAAATTCTCGAAAGGATATCTTGGCTGGCGCGCTTCATCGATTTCCACGGCTAATACGACCGTGTTGGTCGAGCGATTTTGCTCGTTTCGATATCGCAACCCTTTCACAGTTCTCCATTTCCCGACACTGAAGCGACGACAACGACGACAACAACAACAAGCAGATTTGACGATGCTGAAAGGACACGCGGATTATCTGCTTAATGCTACTAATACTTTGGCTTTGGCCGGGTATTAGAAGCAAATACACTTACGTCGAACGACCCCATTTCCATGACGCTCTGCTATACAAGCATTGTGGTATTAGAGCATAAAGACGATCCGCCTGACCCCGTTTACATTTTCTAGAACTTTTGTGCGACTATGGTACAAATAGCGTTTGCCTGATCCGTTATGCGCTCGTCCGAGCTATGCGTGTACCGTTCTACTTGATCTAACTTGATCCTACTTCATCGATGGATCAAGTTGCTTAATTTTAAAGCTTTCAAAATACTTAAAATGCTACTCTGTGTTCTACATTGTACAGATCGTCTCTCGAACTTACCTCGTAACTCGTAAAATATCGATTGAAATCGTCCCAGAATGAAGTAACTCAAATTGTACCAGTTGAAAGAAGAAATCTATATAGTGATTTTTAGCGCGAGTTCGATGCTAAACGCAGACAAGGATTTTCGATGAAAAAAAAGGGCTAAGGCGATTTAAAGGGGGGAAAAGTTGTTTGTGCGGGAGAAGTTCGATTTGAGTTTCGCGGTTAGGTTTAACGCGGACATATGTCAATGTTTGCCCTCCGGCACACACGGTTTTACGCTCATCTGGTTACTTCGTCCTGTCCGGACCCTTCTTTTCGTTCGTTCAGATGACCGTAGATCGGCGAGCGGGTTTCCACCCTTGCCGCTCTCACCGTGGCGGGCGCGAGAGAGAAATGGCCTATGCAGAGAACACCGATTTACATACCACTTTAAATTCAATTGGAAATTAAATGATCATAGTTTCTGGCAGAACGACGAACTCGCGTTGGTAAGACGGTCGGCGAAGCGTCCAAGTTTCGTTCTTACGTTCTGTATAATCTTTGACTTAACTCCTCGCTAACGAGACCAACTTGGACGGTACATATCGTTTAGCTTGGAAACTATTTGCACTTGACATTCGTCTTAAGTTTCTGGTTTTCTCTTGTTCGTGCATTATACCGCCATCGAGTGGTACATGAAGCACATTGGTGGAACAGTTCGTCAGACAGATGAGAGAGTAAGAGTAAGAGAGAGAGAGAGAGAGAGAAAGGTATTATGTGAAATGGTACATTCAACCAAGTTAGGTGGAGAGGCTGAAGTTTCCTGTTAGCAATGGCTGCGATTCAGGGCTGAAAATCAAGCTGTCTGAAGCTTGAACCGAAGCAACGTTAATGGCAAGCAAATTTATAAACTCGCAGTTCGAAGCAACTAAACTCAATTTTTCCAATTTCGATTAACTTCTAGTCTACGAACGGTTTTGAGCACCCAACAGCCACGCAATCACACGAACACAGAGTTTTAATAGAATCTTTCTCGAATCGTTTTAGATCAGGAAAATGCAGTTTAGAGGAAAAGAAGATCGCAAGGAAAGTTTCTACACGTTGATTACATTAACAATGTTTTTGCCATCATTAATGACGTGTTGAAATATATCTGCAAATGATAGTAAGCAAAATGGCAGTAAATTTATAAAGAAATGAAGGATAATACAAAAGTGAGGAAGAAACAAGATCAAACGTCGTTCGTAGACATCCGTAGAGTTCGGGAGAAGGTGTGAATAGAGCGTTCTCGGTAATGAGGAACCTACTGGCTAAGCAGCCAACCATCCAGCAGCCCATCTATCTAACCAACCCCGTGTTTCATCCCCCCATATCCATTCTCCATCCGTTCCTATCCCTTGGCGTTTCTTCTTCACACCCAACCCCTGAACCGGCCTCTGGCACTGCTGTTGCCTCTGCTACTGCGGACCCTCTTCCACGCCTAGGAAGGTTTGTTCGCATCACAGCCTCCATTTTAACCTCTGTTGGCTGAGCGATAGTTTTCATCCGCGAAAGAAGCCGAAAGTGATTCAAAAAAAAAAAAAAAAAAAAAAAGAAAAAGAAAAAAA